CTTGGCCCTTTTATGACTTGTGGACTTCAACTCCCAGAATTCCTGAGCCAACATGGGGGAACTATGGCCCCTTCATGACTTGTGGACTTCAACTCCCAGAATTCCTCAGCCAGCGTGCCTGGCTAAGGAATTCTGGGAGTTGAAGTCCACAAGTCATAAAACGGCCAAGTTTGAAGAGGTCTGCCTTATAATATGGAAACTTTGTCCTGTAGCAACTCATTTGGTGCTATAAAAATTGAGCCAAAAACTGGTAACAGATGCAGGAGATGAACTCTGCACCCACCAGCAGCTCAGAAGGAAAGGAAAGGAAGAAAGCCCAACTGATGATTAATTACCAATTAACACTTTTCTCCCAAGTAGGCCGGAGCCTTGCTGGATGCAGGCCGTGGTGTTTTCATGCGTATTGACTTAATAATGAATACTGCCTCCGTTAACTGGGTTCATTTGTGCTTGAGTTCTGCAGCTAGAGTTTAGTTTAATTCAGGAGGAAAGTGGGGTTCAAAAGTGCTTTATAATAATAGGATAGAATAGAGCTGGAAGGGACCTTGGAGGTCTTCTAGTCCAGCCCCCTGCTCAAGCAGGAGAACCTATACCATCTCAGACAATTGACTGTCCAGTCTCTTCTTAAAAACGTCCAGTGATGGAGCACTCACGATTTCTGGAGGCAAGCTGTTCCACTGGTTAATTGTCCTCACTGTCAGGAAGTTTCTCCTTAATTCCAGGTTGCTTCTCTCCTTGACCAGTTTCCAGCTATTGTTTCTCGTCTTTCCCTGTGGTGCTTTGGAGAATAACGTGACCCCCTCCTCTTCTTTGTGGCAGCCCCTCAAATACTGGAACACTGCTATCATGTCTCCCCTATTTCTTCTTTTCTTTAGACTAGCCAGACCCAAGTCCTGCAGCCGTTCTTCGTATGTTTTAGTCTCCAGGCCTTGGATCATCTTAGTTGCTCTTCTCTGAATTTTTTTTCACAAACTCTCGACGTCTTTTTTGTGACGTGGTGACCAAAACAATGCTCACAATCTCTATGAATTAGGCTAAAAAATAATGGTGGATGCAGCCGACAAACAGATAAGCAGGGATTAACCTCTGACAAACAGGTAGCAAACAACAGCCTAGTCAAGGAACTATCAAGAGAAAACCATATCCTCACCCACACTGGCAGGGCAAGCTATGGTATATAAATAGGGAGTAGACCCCATACTCCCTCACACTGATGATGTTACCTAGTTAGGTCATGAAATGTCTGCACCAAGCTCAGAGATCACCAAGGACCCCACAGTCGTCGTCGTCTCCTCCTCCTCCTCCTCCTCCTCCTCCTCCTCCTCCTCCTCCTCCTCCTCTTCTTCTTCTTCTTCTTCTTCTTCTTCTTCTTCTTCTTCTTCTTCTTCTTCTTCTTCTTCTTCTTCTTCTTCTTCTTCTTCTTCTTCTTCTTCTTCTTCTTCTTCTTCTTCGGGATAAATACAAAATCTCGGGAACTATCATTGGAGTTTCCCTGTTTTTCTAGCAAGCTAATTAAAGTGGAGCCTCTTGAAGTACAGGCAGTCCTCAACAGTTCATTTAGTGACCGTTCAAAGTTACAACGGCACTGAAAAAAGTGACTTATGGCCGTTTTTCACACTTACGACCATTTCAGCCATCCCCGTGATCAAAATTCAGACGTTTGGCAACTGACTTGTATTTATGACAATTGCAGCGTGCCAGGGTCACGTGATCCCCTTTTGCGAACTTCCAATGAGCAAAGTCAATGGGGAAGCCAGTTTCACTTAACGGCCGTGTTACTTAACGACTGCAGTGATTCACTGAACAACTGTGGCAAGAAAAGTCATAAAATGGGGCAAAACTCACTGAACAAATGTCTCACTGAGCAGCACAAACTTTGCACTGAGCTGTAGTCTTAAGTCAAGGATTACCAGTATTAGCTTCCTGGCCAGATACAACTTGTTCTAAAATTTATGTAGAAGGAAAAAACCCAACAACCCACAATTCCTCTCAAACATCAAAGAGGGTTGCAGACTTCCCTCTTTAACATGCTGGCCTTGTCTTCATATTCAGGGACAGTCACTCTAATTTCTCTCCTGGACTAAATTCAAGTTACATTGCAATTTCTCTTCTGGTCTGCAGCCCACAGAAGCATTAAGAATGCAGAAACAATCTGTTCTGCTGATTACTATTGAGTGTAAACTGCCCTCCGGGGAAATGGGTTGGAGGGGGCAGCATTAATATTTTTAAGTATCTGCTTAAGTAGCTAGATAACACATAATTTTGTGCGGCCCCTGAAGGGGGTCTCACGTATTTGCAATTGCAATCGTTTAATGAAATTGCATTTTTCATTGGGCGGCTATTGTTAGTCCCAATGAACTTGATTATGTGGCCCTTTATGATAGGTTTTAGATGTGGGTCACTTCTGTGGGTTGAAGTACAGCGAGTACAGTCAGTGAGACAGCTGTTAAGTGAATTTTTCCCCCTTATATGACCTTTCTTGCCACAGTTGTTACGTGAATCACGGCAGTTGTCAAGTTAGTAAGACCGTCGTTAAGTGAATCAGGCTTCCCCAGTGACTTTGCTTCTCAGAATGTGGCAAAGAGGGATCCACATGACCCCAGGGCTGCAACCGTCATCAATATGAGTCAGTTGCCAAGCGTCTGAATTTTGATCACGTGACCCTGGGGATGCTGCAATGGGTGTGTGAAAAACGGTCATAAGTCACTTTTTTTCAGTGCCCCTGTAACTTTAAACAAATTGTTGTAAATCAAGGACTTTAATATCACCTTATAATACCTTGGTAAGGCCACATTTGGAATCCTGCATCCAATTTTGTGTCACCACGATGTAAAAAAGATGTTGAGACTCTGGAAAGAGTACAGAGAAGAGCAACAAAGATGATCAGGGGACTGGAGGCTAAAGCATATAAGGAACGGTTGCTGGAATTGGGTATGTCTAGTTTAACGAAGAGAAGGACGAGGGGGGACATGATAGCAGTCTTCCAGTATCTCAGGGGCTGCCACAAAGAAGAGGGAGTCAAGCTATTCTCCGAAGCACCTGAAGGCAGGACAAGAAGCAACAGATGGAAACTAACCAAGGAGAGAAGTAACCGAGAACTAAGGAGAAATTTCCTGACAGTCATAACAATTAATCAGTGGAACGACTTGCCTCCAGAAGCGGTGAATGCTCTAACACTGGAAGTTTTTAAGAAGAGATTGGACAGCCATTTGTCTGAAATGGTATAGGGTTTCCTGCCTGAGCAGGGGGTTGGACTAGATGACCTCCAAGATCTATTCTATTCTATTCTATTCTCCAATCCAATCCAATCCAATTTCTATTCTACTATCTTTACCTACAAAGATCAAATGATACAGTCAATGGTTTTCCCTATGATAGCCTATGGATGCAGAGAGCTTGGAAAAAGAACAAAGTTTTGATGATTTAATTAAAAGATTTACAGAGCTGGCCATCTTATGCAACATAACCCTGGCTGTCTCACAAACAATTAACTGGGAAACAGGTAGCTAAATGCAGATGTTTGGCACGGTAATTGTTAATTTATTCCCAAGCCACAATTTTCCATCTTAAAAATTTTCCACCAGCACGATGTAATTATATCTCTCAAAACTCCCTGCGGGGACCTTAGGACTATCTTACCGTACCTTGGCTACAAAGCAGTACAGAAATCATTTTTTTTTTTAAAAAAAGAAGAGTTTCTTACTTCAATAATAAATAATAAAGAAGATGCCCCTGCCAGAAAAACCGGATTTATAAACTGACAATGCTGACATTTGCCAGAGGCAGCAATTTAAATTTATTTTGATTTATGCTTCCTAACGCTGTTCCTACACAAAGGAAAGAAAGAGTAGATCGCAGTCCTTCAGAAACATAGGGGTAAGTCACGACCTCAACGGAGCCCAACATTTTTTTTGCTAAGGGAAAGATTTGTTAAGTGAGTTTTGCCCCATTTTACGACTTCCTTGCCACAGTTGTGAGGTCAATCACTGCAGCTGCTTCTGACAAAGTCAGGGGGGAAAGCCAGGTTGACTTAACAACCGTGTTACCAGCTTAACAACTGCAATGATATGCTTAACAACTGTGGCAAGAAAGGTCGTAAAATGGGGGCAAAACCCACTTAACAAATGTCTCGGTGAGCAACCTAAATTTTGGGCTCGACAGTGGTTGTTAAGTCGGGGACTACCTGTGTTTGGTTTGGCCAAAGGTATCTTTAATTTTCCATATCACTGCAGCTGTCCATTACCCTGAAGCAGGGGTAGGCAACCTCGGCTCTTTTATGACTCGTGGACTTCAACTCCCAGAATTCCTGAGCCAGCCATGCTGAGGGGAAAGGGAGAGGTTTCCAAGCTGAGCCATGCCGGCTCAGGAATTCTGGGAGTTGAAGTCCACAAGCCATGAAGGGGCCATAGTTCCTCCATGCTGGCTCAGGAATTCTGGGAGTTGAAGTCCACCAGTCATAAAAGGGCCAAGTTTGAAGACCCCTGGTTTAATATTTAAATATTTTTTCCTCATGGTCACGTGATCAAAATTCAGGCATTTGGGCAGGGGTAGGCAACCTTGGCTCTTTTATGACTCGTGGACTTCAACTCCCAGAATTCCTGAGCCAGCCATGCTAAGGGGAAAGGGAGAGGTTTCCATGCTGAGCCATGCTGGCTCAGGAATTCTGGGAGTTGAAGTCCACGAGTCATAAAAGAGCCAAGGTTGCCTACCCCTGCCCTGAAGGAAGCGTTTCCCAAGCATTTTTGACTAGGCCGCAAATAGTATCCAACTATTATTAAATTATATCTGAGGCCTGGTGATGGTCTCATTTTATGCACAATTTTCGTCGTTTCTTTGGCAGAAATTACAGCCTTTCTAAGTATTCCCAAATTATGACCCCGCTATAAATATGAAGCCACTTAAGAAACCAAAACCAATCACCCAGAAACAAAATACACACTTAGTGGGAGAGACCTGGGTCCCAGGCGGTATAAACGATGACCTCTATTTCCCAAGCAATGTTTGCCTAGTGCGGTGAAAGCATCTTTATTCCATTAAACGATTATGCAATGTCAGCAATCGCTTTTCTTCTGTGACAAAGAAGTTCTTAGTCAGAACTGCTACAGTTAAAATGCTATTTTTGGGGGGACGGCCGCCTTTCCTTTTTTCCATTTCATCCGCTTCTTCAGGGTTCCTCATCGTCTGGCTGATTTCTTTTCTGGTTTTAAAAAAACAACAACAACACAAAAATTGGAGTGGACGTTTTATTGATTTATTAATAACAAGTGTAATCATTTGTTACTTCTGTTTTTCTCCAGGGAGGTACCAGGCTAGAAACCAAGAGATAGTTGAGTTCTAGTTCCAGCTTTGGCATGAAAGCCGTCTGGGTGGACTTTGGGTCAATCATCAGGAGATGGTGAATTCTAGTCCAGCCTTAGGCGTGAAAACCGACTGGGTGACTTTTTGCCAATCACCAGGAGACAGTGAATTCTAGTTCCAACTTTGGCATGAAAGCCATCTGGGTGGACTTTGGGCCCATCATCAGGAGACGGTGAATTCTAGTCCAGCCTTAGGCGTGAAAACCGACTGGGTGACTTTTTGCCAATCACCAGGAGACAGTGAATTCTAGTTCCAACTTTGGCATGAAAGCCGTCTGGGTGGACTTTGGGACAATCATCAGGTGATGGGGAATTCTAGTCTGGGTGACTTTGGGCTAATCATCAGGAGATGGCGAATTCTAGTTCAGCCTTAGGCACGAATGGGTGACTTTGGGCCAATCACCAAGAGACTGCGAGTTCTAATCCCACGTTACGCCTGAAAGCCAGGTGGGTGACTTCGGGTCACTCCCTCTCTCTTAGCCGACCCACTTCACACAGTTGTCGTTGTGGGGAAAATAAGAGGAAGAAGGAGCATTATATTTGCCCGCCTTGAGTTACTTATCAAAATAGCAAAGGTGGGACATAAATCAATAAAGCTAAATAAAATAAATAAAATAAATACTATACATAAATACTATACATAAATAATATAAATAAATAATATAAATAAATAATATAAATAAATAATATAAATAAATAATATAAATAAATAATATAAATAAATCACCACCACCACCACCACATGAGGTGGATTGGACTGAGAAAACATGACTCTCCCCCAAACTGCAGAGGGAACCTTCCTTCTCTTAACTCCATAATCTGAACCATGGCATCATCCTAACATCTTAGCATAGACCAGGGGTAGGCAACCTTGGCTCTTTTATGACTCATGGACTTCAACTCCCAGAATTCCTGAGCCAGCATGGCTCAGCTTGGAAACCTCTCCCTTTCCCCTCAGAGTGGCTGGCTCAGGAATTCTGGGAGTTGAAGTCCACAAGTCATAAAAGAGCCAAGGTTGCCTACCCTTGGCATAGGCCAAGAAATGTAACAGACATCAGACATCATGAAAAAAATAAATACACAAAGCAAATAGTAAAATTGAGAACCAATAACCACAGTAACCAAAATAGTAATTAGAAATCAAATGATATTTTTGACCATGCCATATTTATGGACCAACGCAGCGTTTGTTATTGTATTAAATTTATAAATATATTATCTTACCACAGGGGTAACCCTGGGAGGGTTCGAATATTAAAAAAAAAATTATACAAAATCTGTACACAACACAAACTAAATACTATAAAAAGATAAACACTCACTTTAGGATCCTAACATTATGGAGTCCTGTGTCACCACAGGATGACCGATCAGCTTTCATAAAGGAGCAGTCTCTATACTACAAAAAAATGGTAATTTTCCTGCTATGGTCCTTTCACCCCTCACTAAAAAAGCACCATAAAGCCTCAGTTGGGAAGCTTACAGCTAGCTTATTTGGATAATACCCCAGGCCACCTCGGCATGCTTTAAATTTTAAATATCCATAGGTTAAATATTTAGTTCCACCCTTCAAGAGGCTGTTTGCAAAATTTATAAATGTTTGCTGCTCTTTGATCAGAATTGGGGCTGTATGAATACACAAGTCACCCTGTGTGATCACAAGTAATGGATGTTCTTTCACAGCAGGGTTTTAGATTGGATTCATTTAAGGTTTTAGCCCATTCATCATGGGCTAAACAACACAAAAGTGTTCAATGAAAACTTCTCAGCGAGATTTCAATCTTTGCAATTCTAAGCCTCACTTAAGCTGTTATAAAAGCAAAATAGCTCAGAAAGTCAGTCAAGAGACTAGGGAGAAACTCTGTGGTTTTCTATTACGCTTGATTTCCTGAAAACAAGTTTCTAAGCTCTTATCAGAGGGATAAAAATATAAGGAACAGTTGCTGGAATTGGGTATGTATAATTTAATGAAGAGAAGGACGAGGGGGGACATGATAGCAGTCTTTCAGTATCTCAGGGGCTGCCCCAAAGAAGAGGGAGTCAAGCTCTTCTCCAAAGCACCTGAAGGCAGGACAAGAAGCAACGGGTGGAAACTATGGTTCCTCTCTTCGTTGAATCTTGATTCCTCTTTGAAGGACCGTCAATCTTGTTAATTGGTCACCTTGTTGGACGGAGGTCTTCGCCACTTACGAGGTTGTGACCTTCAAAAATTTCTTCTCTGACCTGTCGGTAAACAGACTTTACCATATCCCAAAGGACGGACTCGTCCCCCAACCTGATCTACTGGAGGTTCCACCCTTCCAACTTTATTATTATTATTATCATTATAGGATACACAAACAGATATTTTGGAGAACTGAAAATGATTTGTGGAAAGATGTGCATATCCACCCTTACTTTCTCTCTAAGGTGCATCCAAAAACATAAATTTTGCAACTGTTTGAAAAGTAAGTTGTTCCTCCGAAAAAGTACTCAACTTAATGCAGAGATGTTCTACTTTTTTCTAAATTGCCAAGTTATAAACGTTTAGATTGTGACAGGAACTTGCAAGGAAACTGATATATATATATATATATATATTTCCGTCACAAAGTACAAATCTTATAAATTATATCAGTGTTTCTCAATCTTGGCAACTTTCGACTGTGTGGATTTACCCGGCCAGTATGCTGGGAGTTGAAGTGCACACAAGCCTACTGAGGAATTCTGGGAGTTGAAATCCACAAATCTAAAAGTTGCCAAGGTTGAGAAACATTGGAATGTAGACAAGGGAAGTGAATGAGGCCTTTATCCTTCAGGAATGAGATTTCTAGAATAGAGAATAGAGCTGGAAGGGACCTTGGAGGTCTTCTAGTCCATCCCCCCGCTCAAGCAGGAGAACCTATACCATCTCAAACAAGTGACTGTCTAGCCTTAAAAATCTCCAGTGATGGAGCACCCACGATTTCTGGGAGTAAGCTGTTCCACTGGCTAATTGTCCTCACTGTTAGGAAGTTTCTACTTAATTCTAGGTTGCTTCTCTGTTTGATCAGTTTCCAACCATTGTTTCTCGTTCTTCCCTCTGGTGCTATTAGAAACAATATTACAGTTGTGCTGTGGAAGATGGGTTCCAATCACCAGCGACTAGACGCTAATTACCTTCTTCATTGCAATGGGTTTTAAGACAACCTCTTTATATGTTCCACTCAAATGTCTAGAACTTGGTAAGGAGAAAAAAAAATCTAACGGTAGGTAGGTCTGCATGTATGAACACACACTCAGTGTTCTGAAAGCAAGGCTTTCAAGCTACCATCTTTTCTGGCACAATGACTTTTTAGGTCCACAGAAATTCCTCTCTGTAACTCTCTACAAATCTGCTTACCAGTTTGAGCAGGTCAATTAATTTGTGAACATCTTCTCCCGTGGAAAGATCAACAAAATCTTTGGGCAACCGGTAGCTCAGATACGGACTTGGCTGGACCGTGAGGTTGCTGTTTGTGCAACGGAACGATGGAGAGTCCTAATTTGGAAGTGAAGAGCAAACGAAGAAAGATGCACTCAATTATTTCCTTGCAATTTTTTTTGGTATTCTTTAGTTTAATCAATGCATTCTGAAACACTTATGTATTGCGGCTTCTCTTAAATGGTGAACGGCTTCAAAATATCTAATAGTGCTTTCATACTCTGGGGGGAGAGAAGCTGGGGATTCTGGAAAATGTGGACCAAGATCAGGATTTCCTAGGAGACCTCTGGAGATGAGAACGACTCAAGGTGCTGACAGGTTCCATCGATATTAGAGCAACTTCCTCCACACCCATTAATTGCTGGTTTGCAAGTTGGAGAAAGGAGAAGCGAATGGACGGAGGACCAGGGCCTACCCCGGTGTTTGTCAGTCACAGCAAGTTTAAGATGTGTGGACTTCAACTCCCAGAATTCCTCAGCTAACTCCCTTCTTGATAAGGTCACAAGACTACTCAATTAATAAACTATTCTATCCATTGCCTGGTTGCGAGTCACAAGCCAAAATTCTTACTGTCCATGAAGTTTTTATTCCTTTTATAGTTAGTTTATATAGTTTATACAAAAGTGCGTATAGTCAAGGCCATGGTTTTCCCAGTTGCAATGTATGGCTGTGAAAGCTGGACCATAAGAAAGGCTGAGCGACAAAGAATTGAGGCCTTTGAACTATGGTGCTGGAGAAGACTCCTGCGAGTCCCCTGGACTGCAAGGCGATCAAACCGGTCAGTCCTAGAAGAGATCAACCCCGACTGCTCTTTAGAAAGCCAGATCCTGAAGTTAAAACTCAAGTACTTTGGCCACCTAATGAGAAGGAAGGACTCACTGGAGAAGGGCCTAATGCTGGGAAAGATTGAGGGCAATAGAAGAAGGGGACGACAGAGAATGAGGTGGCTGGATGGAGTCACTGAAGCAGTAGGCATGAGCTTAAATGGACTCCAGAAGATGGTAGAGGACAGGAAGACCTGGAGGAACGTTGTCCATGGGGTCGCGACTTCGCAATTAACAACAACAACAAATAGTTAAATTATAGAACTATAATTTATAGTTCATTTCCAACAAGGCAAAATTGTAGCAATGGGTATTTTTTTAAAAAAGTAAAATGTCAGTGCCTAGCAAAATCAGGAAAGTTGGCTTAAGTCCATGTGTGCCTTTATATAGATTTATATTGTACTTTTTAAAAAAATGAATCTGTTACCTCTTCCATGGCTGCACCTTCGGTCTGGTCACTTTTCAAACTGTTTCCGGATCTTATTTCTTCCCAGGTGAACAGTAGAGAATCCGTCACTTCCCCAAATGGATTAAAATCAATGAGCCACACTCTGCCCTGAAGGAGGGTGGTTAAGAGTCAAAATGTAACAAGCCATAGTAGGTGACGACATAAAATAAAAGACAAATAAAATAAAAGGCAACCTAAAAATGTTCACATGCCACACGGATGCAGTCCTTTTTCTTTCTAAAATCTAAGTTATAGTCCTCAACTCACCACCACAAGTGAGCCCAACATTTCTGTTGCAAAGCAAGACACTTCTTAAGTGAGTTTTGCCCCATTTTACGAACTTAGTGACACGGTTGTTAAGTGAGTCTGGCTTCCCCACTGACTTTGCTCGTCAAAAAGTCACAAAAGGGGATCACATGACACCAGGACACTACAACCGTCATAAATGTGAGTCAGTTGCCATGCATCTGAATTTTGATCACGTGACCGTGGGGATGGCTGCAGTGGTCGTAAGTGTGAAAAATGGTCATAAGTCGCTTCAGGGCCACTGTAACTTTGAACAGTCACTAAATGAATGGATTTAAATCGAGGACTGCCTGTATCCTATACATAATAATTTGCAGTAGTGGCCAAAATTGTGGAAACCTTTTGGGAAAAGTGTATTTTTGAGGTTTGATGGCTAATAACACCACTTTTTTTTTGGAGTAGTACCATAAAATTATATATCAATGGAAAGATAATTTAATCAAGAATGTAATGCAACAAAGTTTGTTCAATTATCTGTACTGTATTCTATGAAACGTTATAGCCAAATAACCAGAAAAAAGGAAGCACAACTTGCTTAGGTTGATATCAGGTAGCTGTCCTTCATCTGATTGTAGCCAATGAGCATGAGTGTTTAGAGAGCCAATTGGGTGTCATCTTGTTTTGGCAATGAGCCAATCAGATCACAGTATGATTCAGTCATTGATGTCCTGTATTGAAGCTGAGAGGAGGACATTTGTCAGTGTGTTATGTGATCTCTATCAAGCTGGTTGGGTTTTTTTGTGTTCTTTCATTTAGTGAGCTTGCAAAACGTAATAAAATTAAAGGAATGGTGCAAAGAGCTGACTGGTCGCCCAGAAAGCGACGTAAAATAGTATTATTAAGTGAACAAGGCTACAGTTATAAAGAAATTAGAAGAAAAATGGGTGGAAACTTAACCAAAGGTGGCATTTCTACTGTACACTTTTCCCAAAAGGTTTCCACAATTTTGGCCACTACTGTAAAAGACATATCCAAAGGTAATACGGCTGCAATTCTTTATTTCTAAAATCTAATTATTGTTCATTTGTGTTCTCAATCTGCTTTTTCACTTCTTTTATTAGAAGCTCACTAATTCTTCTTCCAGATGGACTTTTTTAAAAAAAGTTTTAGGATGATTTTTTTTTCAAATGATTTTTTTTTCAAATGCCAGAATTTTGTCATGAGAAACTGCTAGGTTTTCATTTACATAAATGTGCAGAGTTGAAGGTTAGGGCAGGATTAATAACATTCAAAGCTTATTTATAACCAAGTGGCCTCTTAGACAATCTTCTTAGTCAAATTTAAGGTCTGTTTTAAATGTAAAACAATTCTGGAATGTCAGACCAACATCAGAGTGATTTTGACAGAGCTACAGACGGATTTCTTCAACTCTAAACAGGGTTGCAAGATCAAAATATTTTGAATGGTTGATCACATGTGTTTAAGCACCGCCATCGCTACATCTGGTGTGGACTCCAGTGAGTGAAAATGCTGGACAGACAAAACTTTTTTAAAGTCCTATCTACTGGGATTTTCCGTAATCCTAAATTAAAATATTGTGGTTTTTATGAGGCTGTTAGCCGCCCTGAGTCCTATGAGGAGAAGGGCGGGGTATAAATTAAATTATTATTATTATTATTATTATTATTATTATTATTATTATTATTATTATTATTATTATTATTATTATTATTATTATTATTATAATAATAAAATGAGAAAATGCTTTGAGTCCTTGCCAAGAATTCCATAAAGCCAAGATTAGCTCACCAGTTTTTAGCAATATGAGCCAGAAATATACCTTACTCAGCAAGAGCAGAATAAAACATGAAAGATTTTCACTGCTGCCATTCTCTAAACACCCATTAATGTATACAGAAAGTAGAAATAAATGTTAGGGCCCTAATACTTTTAAGCAAATGAAGTATACGTTCTGCCTGCTTGGAGAGAAAACAATGTTGTTAATAGCCAGGCGATTCTGGATTCGCGCAAAGAATCTACATGACATTGCAGAATAATGTATACAACTCATCACCAGGCATATGATCCAATTGGTGCAAACTTTCTATTTTAACGTGTGTAAAATCACATTGCACTTCATTGTTTTGAATAGAGCAAAACAAAGCAATGAAAACGATACGAAATAAAACACAGCCTTGCCACTGAGAAAGTAAAGACTTCCTTGAGTTAGGTTTAATTCTGGTAAACTATCTGGATTTATCCACGAAGCAGTGTCAACCCAATAAGATAGACACAGACTAAAACACCAATTGCACGTCAGTCTGGATTACTACTATTGTGACAGAATTGTGATCAGGGGTCTTCAAACTTGGCCCTTTGATGATTTGTGGACTTCAACTCCCAGAATTCCTCAGCCACAAAGTTTCCATATTATAAGGCAGGGGTCTTCAAACTTGGCCCTTTGATGACTCGTGGACTTCAACTCCCAGAATTCCTCAGCCAGTGTGCCTGGCTGAGGAATTCTGGGAGTTGAAGTCCACGAGTCATCAAAGGGCCAAGTTTGAAGACCCCTGGTCTAGATAATCCAAATGGCTTATCTTCCTGTGAATTTGTGAGGGATTGTCTTAGATGTTTTCTCAAGTTGCGTCATTTATCTGGGTACAAGCCCTGCTTATCTGACCACTGCCTTAGCAGAAATTCTTCCTCCTGTCTTCAAGGGCCTCCCTTATCCCCTCTGTCATATGGGTTTACTATTGATTTCTTCTGAGATTTTGTTTTTTAACTGCCTGACTTTTTTTTCTTCTCCTCCACTTAGTGACCAATTCAGTGTTTTGAAGATCAGGCCAGATTGGCTAGATGCTGCCCATCTCTTGGGAGAAAATCAAAATCCTAGTTGTATACCTTCCCAATCATTGGCGTGGGTATAGAAAAGAAAAAACTCACTTACCATACTGTCCTTGTAGACATCAAATACAACTAAAAAGGGGGAAAAAAGCAGAAAGTAGGAAAAGTGAGTATCTTGATGATGGTTAGCCATTATATGCAAAAATTGAACGCCTCTTCATTAACAAGCCCAGATTCAGATCCAGAATTTGAAATAATAGAAATTTTTCCACAGAGTTATTGATATTTTGCTTAGCTAGGGGGATAACATAGGACAGGGCTTTTCAACCTTTTCACCCATTGTACCACTTTTAGGGTATGACAACATCCGAGTACCACCAGTCGCCTAACAAGGTGCCAAAAACTTGATGACCCCCCCCCCCAAAAAAGGAAAAAAGTGATGAAGTACAGGTAGTCTTTGACTTACAACAGTTCGATTAGTGACTGTTCGGAGTTACAATGGCACTGAAAAAAGTGCCCCCCAAGCCACAGCCGAGCAAGACACCTGCCTGCCCACCAGGCGGCGCTCTTCCTCCTGTCCGAGGTTTCCATTGTTGTGAGCATTTCTGTTGAGGATTGGCAGCGGGGGTGGGGTGGGGTGTGTGTTTGATTTTTATTCCCCCTGTCTGCTGGGTGGTTGCAGCAGGTTTTGGTCACTTCACATGACCCTGGGACACTGTGACCGTCATAAATATGAATCAGTTGCCAAGCATCTGAATGTAAATCACAAGACCCTGGAGAGGCTGCAACATTCCAGATGATCCAGCTTCTTCTGGTGCCAGGATCAGCGCCGAGCTCCAGCTGGAGGCTGGCGCTGATCCTGATGCTTCCACTGAGTCCTGAAAGCCCCGAAGAAGCGCTGATCCTGGCGCTTCCGCTGAGCCCTGACAGCCCTGCAGCTCCAGCCGTCTCTCGCTCAGGCTTTTGCGGTGCTGCCACCGGTTCAGCTCATTCCCCTCCCCTGCTACCACTTTTCTGATATGGTCGCGTACCACTTGCCAGGTGCCAATGTACCCCAGGTGGTACCCGTACCACTGGTTGAAAAGCCCTGACATAGACACAAAACATAGCATATTTTTGACCAAAACTGAGAGATGGAAGAGAAGTAGGGGAATGAAATAATAACAATGAATGTCTATTTTCTTTCTGATATTATTTTTTGGGGTCTCTCTCTCTCTCTCTCTCTCTCTCTCTCTCTCTCTCTCTCTCTCTCTCTCTCTCTCTCTCTCTCTCTCTCTCTCTCTCTCTCATTCTCATTCTCTTCTTTCTTGTTATGCCTTCTTTCTCATCCAATGAATGTCTATTTTCTTTCTGATATTATTTTTTTTGGTCTCTCTCTCTCTCTCTCTCTCTCTTTCTCTCTCTCTCTCATTCTCTTCTTTCTTGTTATGCCTTCTTTCTCGTCCAATGAATGTCTATTTTCTTTCTGATATTATTTTTTTTGGTCTCTCTCTCTCTCTCTCTCTCTCTCTCTTTCTCTCTCTCTCTCATTCTCTTCTTTCTTGTTATGCCTTCTTTCTCGTCCGCTCCAACTGCAAGGAAGGCACAAGTATTTTCTATCAGAGGCCAAGGGATGGACGGATAGGTAACATTTTAAGAAAAAGTATGTAAATTGAAAACGAGTAAGCAAAAAAAAAAAAAAAGGGTAAAAGGTTCAAATAAGTTTACAGTTATCTTTTAATTTATTTTATTCTCCAAAGCACCTGAAGGCAGGACAAGAAGCAACGGGTGGAAACTCATCAAGGAAAGAACCAACCTAGAACTAAGGAGAAATTTCCTGAAAGTTAGAACAATTAATCAGTGGAATGGCTTCCCCTCCAGAAGTTATGGCTGCTCCAATAATGGGAGTTTTGAAGAGGAGATTGAACAGCCATTTGTCTGAAATAGGGCTTCTTGCCTGAGCAGGGGGTTGGACTAGAGGACCTCCAAGGCCCCTTCCAAGGTTATTATTCTGTGATGATTTTAGCTTCTATCCTCAGCTGTTTGGGTGTCTGCGGATAAAAATAATTCCAACTAAATGAACTGTTTATGCGGTTCAGCTTCCATTTGTGCTTCTGCTTTTTGCAGGATTTCAGCAGAAAACAACCAACCAAATCAGCAAGGACCAGTGGATAAACTCACCAAGGACACTACTTGAAAGAGGACCTTGTTAATTATTAGAAAATACCCGTCCCTTATTCAAATTAAAAGGATACTCACAATCTTCATCCAAAAATTTGTACTGTATGTGTTTATTGAAAAAATCCTGTATGCATCTACAGATCTCTTCTTTCTGTTTAGAGATGTGTTCATAGTACTGAGTGTAGTCTCGCTGAGATATACCTGGGTGAAAAATTATATCCGATATAATTTTTTATTATAATGGAATTATAATAAAATTGGAATTAAAGCATAGTGAAAGAACAACGGCCCCAATGGTACTATGTTAGTAGTTTCAGTATGCAAGCTCTGCAGATATTTCAAATCAGAGGTCTCTTGACAAGACCCAGGATTGTTAGGAAAACTGAATTTCTTTCTGTTATGCCAGAAACAACCATGCAAACTCCAGATTTCAAAGCTGAATTTAGTGAGCCGTAAGCCAAAAAAAGCAGGCAACTTGTAGCTTAAAAAAAAACAGATGCAGAAAAGAACATATATTAAGTCCTCGGATAATGCATAAATATTAAGATCCAATGAGGTTCCAGGATGGTATTTCACGTTATTATTTTTTTGAGCTGTTTGGACCGTTATGGGAAAAACTCTACGGAAATAAAATGATTATGACTTATTAACAGGACACGGACAAAAAAAATCATGGCCAAAATTTAATATGCAGTCTTACCTGTGAAATGCAGGAGGTTACAATAAAAATATCTAGAAAAGCTTTAGACACAACCGAGGATAAATGAGCTTTTCCTGATAAAACTCACCAATAAGTTTGTTTTCCTTCACAAAGCACCTGAATTCTGCCCCCGGAATCAATTCACACCATTTTCGGAGGACAAGCTAAGGGAAGGGAGACAAAATTCTGATTAACTGGCACGGAAATAAACAACCCGCTTTCATCTTAAGGGATAATTAAAAAATTGCCAAATGTTGAAAAACAAGAGGCTCTCTTCTTAAGGCTGGCCTTGTGATCCTCAACTTCTGAAAGGAGCCTTGATGAGGTCACGCATGGAATGAAGCTACCAAGCAAATGATATGAACTGTGGAATGCATTTAACTTCCATTTATTTATTTTACTAGGCTTACAGGCTGGTCTAATCTAGTAGTGAATCTGAGAGGTTTACAATCCTATTATACTTAAAGTTAAAATTATGAGGATAACAAAACCAATAATAATAACATCAACAAACTCCAATAATCACAGTGTGATGGGCAGTCTCCCATTTTTATCTCGCTCTCTCTCTCTCTCCCTCTCCATCCATCCATCCATCCATCCATCTCTCTATTATAGCTATTCTCTATCCATCCATCCATCCATCTCTTTAGCTATTATAGCTATTCTCTCTCTCTCCATCCATCCATCCATCCATCCATCCATCTCTCTAGCTATTATAGCTATTCTCTCTCTGTATCCATCCATCCATCTATCCATCCATCCCTCTAGCTATTATAGCTATTCTCTATTCATCCATCCCTCTATTATAGCTATTCTCTATCCATCCATCCATCTCTCTAGCTATTATAGCTATTCTCTCTGTATCCATCCATCCATCCATCCATCCATCCCTCTAGCTATTATAGCTATTCTCTATTCATCCATCCCTCTATTATAGCTATTCTCTATCCATCCATCCATCTCTCTAGCTATTATAGCTATTCTCTCTGTATCCATCCATCCATCCATCCATCCATCCCTCTAGCTATTATAGCTATTCTCTATTCATCCATCCATCTCTCTAGCTATTATAGCTATTATCTCTATCCATCCATCCATCCATCCATCTCTTTAGCTATTATAGCTATTCTCTCTCTGCATCCATCCATCCATCTCTCTAGCTATTATAGCTATTCTCTCTCCATCCATCCCTCTATTATAGCTATTCTCTATCCATCCATCTCTCTAGCTATTATAGCTATTCTCTCTGTATCCATCCATCCATCCATCCATCCCTCTAGCTATTATAGCTATTCTCTATTCATCCATCCATCTCTCTAGCTATTATAGCTATTCTCTCTCTCCATCCATCCATCCATCTCTCTAGCTATTATAGCTATTCTCTCTCCATCCATCCCTCTATTATAGCTATTCTCTATCCATCCATCCATCCATTTCTCTAGCTATTATAGCTATTCTCTCTCTGTATCCATCCATCCATCCATCCATCTCTCTAGCTATTATAGCTATTCTCTATTCATCCATCCATCCATCCATCCATCTCTCTAGCTATTATAGCTATTCTCTCTCTCTCTCTCTCTCTCTCTCTCTCTCTCTCTCTCTCTCTCTCTCTCTCTCTCTCTCTCTCTCTCTCTCTCTCTCTCTCTCTCTCTCTCTCTCTCTCTCTCTCTCTCTCCCCTCCATACTGGTCATCCAGAAAATCTTTCTGCCTAATCCACTCTCCCAAAATCCAACGTTCCCAACTGCTCAAGATCAAACTCAAGTTGATTTTGTCTCAAATATCTTCCCTCCATTTGACCAAGTTAAAAACACACACACACACCAGATGTTTGCTTAGAAGATGTTTTACATGGAACTAACAAAATCAGAGAACTGAACCGATTTGTGTGCATTTAATTTATTTTTGTCCTGTGGAACTTGATGTGGAAGGGAAGCTTTTGTGCTGGGTTCAAAACGCTACCCTAAGAAGAGTAGCTGTCACTTACTTCATAATCCAAAGAAGGGTCAGGGGAATCATCGTTGCAATGGATAAACCTAGAGAGGAAGAAACACACCTGATAGATTTGCAAATTTGTTTTCAACAGCAACAGATAGGAGCAACCCATCCTGACAGGTTCCTCAGTGACTCCATCAGCACTTGCTAACAGTGTCAATAAGCAAACAATCAAATCAACTGATGAGAACAAACTCCACCCACCCTTTCTAGCACTGATGATGTTACTTAATTCGATAATGAAACGTCTGCAAGAAAATAAACAAGCACAGAGAGTTCCTCCTCCTCCTCGCCACAAACTCCCCTCCCTTCTACCACTGATTATGTTCCCTAGCTGGGTAATGAAACGTCTGCAAGGAAGCAACCAAGCTCAAAGAGAATTAAAGACCCCACAGTCCTACTCCTCTCCGCACACCCCACCCTCTTCTAAAATTGAAGATGTTATCTAGTCAGGTGATGAAAGGTTTGCAAGAAAACAACCAAGCTCAGAGAGCACCAAGGACCCCACAGTTCAAATCTCTGAGCAAACTCCCCTCCCTTCTAGCATTGATGATGTTCCCTAGCTGGGTAATGAAACGTCTGCAAGAAAACCACCAAGCTCAGAGAGCACCAAGGACCCCTTATTTCAACCTGGAACTACAAATACTCTTTTCCATCAGACCTACTCCATCAAGTATCTTGCCTCTTGCAAAAACAACTTAATTGATTTATTGGCTAACATTTATGGCCCACCAAACTGCAGATACACCACAGATTACACCCACTGGGGAGTAATCATCAAAACATAAATACAAGGAGGAGTGGGGAAAAAACATGGTCTAAGAGCTAGAGGTGATCCACGTTGCAGATCCTAATCTCCAAATACTCCTTTGAAGTGGTAGGTCTTTGTAGATCTGGAGGACTGGAGGGTATTTGTTCCAGATGAATTTATGGGGCAGAATATTACAACAGTGTGGGTCAGCTATCACAAAAGCCTGCTATTTCTTGGTTCAATCTCCCTTAATTTGCTGAGGAGGCACAAAGCCATTCCTTTGTGGTCCAAGTAGAAAAGAATAGAATAGAGCTGGAAGGGACCTTGGAGGTCTTCTAGTCCAGCCCCCTGCTCAAGCAGGAGAACCTATACCATCTCAGACAGGTGATTGTCCAGTCTCTTCTTAAAAATTTCCAGGGATGGAGCGCCCACGATTTCTGGGGGTAAGCTGTTCCACTGGCTGATTGTTCTCACTGTCAGGAAGTTTCTCCTTAATTCCAGGTTACTTCTTTATATATATATATATATATTAGATTTGAAATAAATGGTAAAGGGTATCCTATTTGAGCAGGGGGTTGGACTAGAAGACCTCCAAGATCCCTTCCAACTCTGTTATTTTGTTATTCTGTTAAATATCTTTAAAACAGCGGAAGAATAAAGACTCACACTTCTCAGTTTCCAATCTTGGGCTACTTAACTTGACAATGTTAAAGGGAAAACTTTGCCCTTGTTATGCTGTACAGGTAAACCTTGATTTAGGACGATTGAACCCAACATGCTAAGCAAGACATTTGCTAAGCGATTTTTTGCTCCATTTTACGACCTTTCTTCACCACCGTCGTTTAAGTGAATCTCTGCAGTTGTTAAGTTAATAACATGGCTGTTATGTGAAACGGGCTTCCCCCCCCGTTGACTTTGCTTGTCAGAAGGTCGCAAAAGGGGATCACGTGACCCCGGGACAGGGCAACAGTCATAAGTACATGCCAGTTGCCGAGTATCCCGAATTTTGTGCACATGACTGCAATGGTCGTAAGTGTGAAAAACGGTCATAAGTCCCTTTTTCAGTGCCGTGGTAACTTCGAACAGTCACTAAACAAATGATTGTAAATTGAGGAGTATAGTTTTCCATTTCCATCGTATTTTATTGGCGCTATTAAATTATTGAATGTTTACCCAGTCGCTGAACAGAGTCCGTGGGCTTTTCCTTCTGTCGTTTTAATCTATAAACCTATTTGAGGAACTGAATAAAAAATGAAGCCAATTGTCACCTGTTCAGCACTTTCCTTCCTTATGCCAAATTAACATTTACCATTTTCACTTCCTGGGGTTTATCAGCACTTCATCAATAACGAAACTAATGAACGGTTAACCGGATCAGGATGTGTGTTTATTTCAGTGCTCCATCACTGGAGATTTTTTTAAAAAGAGACTGGACAGTCACTTGTCTGAAATGGTATAGGGTCTCCAGCTTGTGCAGGGGGATGGACTAGAAGACCTCCAAGGTCCCTTCCAGCTCTATTCCGATTGACTGAATCTCCCAAAATTGTCTAATTTTCCATTTATAGTTTAACTTTATTTTCGCCAGTAACCAGTGTTGACTTCAAGTTTCTGGCACACACACACAAAAAAAAGCCTAGTGTGGACAATAGATTCACTTAACGACCAGAATGTTCACTTAATAACCGGCAGCTTTCGCTTAATGACTGCCACAAAAAAATATCCTAAAATCAGGTCAATCACCTGGATGCCTCGACTCGTGACTATCGTGCTATAAAGCAGAAATTCCAGGCTCCATTACTGTCGTAAGTCAAGGACCACCTGTAGGAACGTTTTGTATTTAGGAATAAGCAGGAAGAGAGACAATTTTTTTGATAATACCAAACCGCTCAACCTAGCAAGGAAGGTTGGCCCACACAATTGCATCTGCCAACGTGACTTTTTAAATGTCCCTCCACGAGTTGCAGTGGGATAAACAGGGAAATAACATACAGGGCAACAATTAATAATAACAAATTCAGATTGAATCAGAGTGGGGGACACAAGAAGAAAAGCAAGCAAGCTTGGGACTTTTTTTAAGCTCCCTGATCAAGGGGAAAATCCATCGCCAGGATACTTACGGCTGAGTGAAGTCACGCGTGATGAAATCCGAACTCTTGAAAAGCAGGAAGATATCGCTGAGGGTGTTGCATTTCAGGGAATTATTCATGGCGATCCAGTAGGCATCCTAAAGAAAACAGATTTATTCCAGACATGCCATAATTGCCTATTCCAGGCTAGCATTTCCACAGGTAAAAACACCGTGAAATCGGAGCTTGTGCTGATCCAATTTCCAAAAACTGCTTTGGAGTGCACGAGAGTGCAAACATAGCTTGTGGGTGCAAGCGACACTGAAAAGAGCTGTGCCTTTTTCTCTTCGTGGGAACTGGGTGATTACAGGCAATCCTCAACTTACTACAGTTTGTTTAGTGACCGTTCAAAGTAACATCACTGAAAAAGGGACGTATGACCATTTTTCACACGTACTATCATTACAGCACCTCCTCCATCGTCATGTGATCAAAATTCAGACTCTTGGCAAATGACTCCTATTTATCACTATTGCCACATCCCGGGGTCGTATGATCCCCTTTTGCAACCTTTTGACAAACAAAGTCAATGGGGAAGCCAGATTCACTTTACAACCGTGTTACTAATTTAATAACTGCAGTGATTTGACTTACGACCAATCGTTTAGCAACCATTCAGAGTTACCACACTGAAAATGACAACACCAAGCTGGCAGGAATAGCCAATACTCCAGAAGATAGGCTTAAGATACAGGAGGATCTGCACAGACCTGAACACTGGACACTATCTAACAAAATGAAATTCAATGGTGAAAAAAGCAAGGTTCTACATTTAGGCAAGAAAAACCAAATGCACAGGTATAGTATAGGGGGTACCTTGCTCAATAGTAGCAACTGTGAGAGGGATCTCAGAGTCCTAGTGAACAATCACTTAAATATGAGCCAGCAGTGTGCTGCAGCTGCCAAAAAAGCCAACACAGTGCTGGGCTGCATTAACAGAGGGATAGAATCAAGATCACATGAAGTGTTAATACCACTTTCCAATGCCTTGGTAAGGGCACACTTGGAATACTGCATCCAGTTTTGGTCACCACGATGTAAAAAAGATGTTGAGACTCTAGAAAGAGTGTGGAGAAGAGCAAAAAAGATGATCAGGGGACTGGAGGCTAAAACATATAAGGAACGGTTGCTGGAATTGGGTATGTCTAGTTTAATGAAGAGAAGGACGAGGGGGGACATGATAGCTGTCTTCCAATATCTCAGGGGCTGCCCCAAAGAAGAGGGAGTCAAGCTATTTTCCAAAGCGCCTGAAGGCAGGACAAGAAGCGACGGATGGAAACTAATCAAGGAGAGAAGCAACCTAGAACTAAGGAGAAACCTCCTGACAGTGAGAACAATTAACCAGTGGAACAACCTGCCTCCAGAAGCGGTGAATGCTCCAACACTGGAAGTTTTTAAGAAGAGACTGGACAGCCATTTGTCTGAAATGGTATAGGTTGAGCAGGGGGTGGTTGGACTAGATGACCTCCAAGATCCCTTCCAATATTATTATTATTATTATTATTATTATTATTATTATTATTATTATTATTATTATTATTATTATTATTATTATTATTATTATTATATTTTATTCATTAAACATGAACCTCAGTCAACTGAACATTCAAATTGGCTGGCGCTGATGGTTGACAGGGGTTGCTACCAGCATCCTAGGTATATTATTATTATTATTATTATTATTATTATTATTATTATTATTATTATTATTATTATTATTATTATTATTATTATTACCAATCCTCGCACTTATGACCGTTGCAGCACCCCCATACTCACGGGATCAAAATTCAGATGCTTCGCAAGTGGCTCATTTTTATGACGGTTGCAATGTCCCGGGGGTCACGTGCAGGATTCACCTAAGAACTGCAGTGATTCGCTTAACAAGCGTGGCATAGAAAGTTGCAAAACTGGATATAATTCACTTAACTTCCTTGATTGGCCACAAAAATCCAGGTCACTACTGAAGTTAAGTCGAGTATTACCTACGCTGGAAGTTCACTTTCGGAAGTTCATATCTAGATTTGTCTGCAAGAGAATCAGAGCGATGTGTCCTTGTTTAAGGCTTAACAAAACTCACCCCGAGCAACTTCAGTGAAAAACAGGAATTCAAACGCATTAAAAAAAAAACAACTAGAAAAGATTGGATTAAAATATGATTGTGTTGGGTTCTTTGGAAGCAGCTCTTATTATCGGTTTTGCAAGAAGCAGCACTTGATGTACGGCAATAAAGCTAACAATTTAAAGAGCAAAGAAAAAGCCACTTGCTTGTTTATATACATTACAAAAGACTCAGCAAGTGCCCACTTAGTCCTTTCAAGGCTCCCGGTGTTATTTGCGCTCTCTCAAAATTTATTCCCGCTGAAGGCAATCAGGCTCCCATCTAAGGGAGCTTTGGACGGTATCCTTCAGGCCAAATTAATTGCCCAATTTCTTTAGAAGTCTCTGTTCTACGTGGCAATAACTCATTCGGGAGATTGTTAAGAGGCCAAAGATTTAAACTTGCCCCTAAACCTCATTAATGCCGCTGAGAATGTACAAGGCGACCGGCTGATTTATGCTTGCCTCTGTGGTAAATTGAGATTGCGGCAGATTAGCCCAGCTGGGTCCTTTTGAACCACACAAAAGATAGCACCATTATGGCATTATCCATCTGACCTTAACTTTCTTTTGAGGAACTTTCTTGAACAGTTGAAATGCATCTTTTACATTTAAGCATGGGTAATCCTAGCCCAGGATAGGCAACCTTGGCTCTTTTATGACTCGTGGACTTCAACTCCCAGAATTCCTGAGCCAGCCTGGCTCAGCTTGGAAACTCTCCCTTTTCCCTCAGCATGGCTGGCTCAGGAATTCTGGGAGTTGAAGTCCACGAGTCATAAAAGAGCCAAGGTTGCCTACCCCTGTGGACCTAGACTTACAATCACAGCTGAGCACAAAATGTTTCTTGGCGAGGTATTCATTAAGTGACTTTTGCCCCACTTTACCACCTTTCATGCCACGGATTGTTGTTAAGGGAATCACTGCAGTTGTTTAAGTTGGTAGTAAGGTTGTTAAATGAATCCAGCTTCCCCACTGACTTTGCTTGCTATAAGGTTGCAAAAGGGGGAATCATGTGACCCGGGGACCCTGCAAACCGTCATAACTATGAGTCAGTTGCCAGGCATCTGAATTTAGATCACTTGACCATGGAGACGCTGCGACTGTCATAAATATGTGTCAGTTGCCAAGCGTCGGAATTTTGATCATGTGACCCCGGGACACTGCGACCGTCATAACTACGAGTCAGTTGCCGTCTGAATTTTGATCACATGACACCGGGATGCTGCGACCGTCATAACTACAAGTCAGTTGCCAAGTGTCTGAATTTTGATCAGGTGACCCCGGGACGCTGCGACCGTCATAACTACGAGTCAGTTGCCAAGCGTCTGGATTTTGATCAGGTGACCCTGGGACCGCGGGGAAGCTGCAACAGTCGTAAGTGTGAAAACAGTCATGTCGCTTTTTTCATATGTCGCCGTTGTAACTTTGAAGGGTCACTAAACAAACTGTTGGAAGTCAAGGACTACCTGTGCCATCTAAAAATGAAGTCTCCTATTGGACACTCTATCATCCCCACAAAAAATTAATATATTGATATGGACAGGCTGGTAGATTTTTCATCTCAAGGCCTGAATAAATCTTGACTGAGAATCTGAACAGAACTTGCAGTGCAATATTTGATTCCATCTTCCTTGATGGAAACTGAAGTGTTCTTATATTTTCCTTCTAAAACTGCAGAAGGAATTAAATAATGTTTTTTTTAAATGCCCAGGGATGTTTACTGCCATAAAGGTTAGAACTGAAGAAGCTTCTTGGACCAGAAGTGAAATATTTTCAAGGAAAAAACCCAAGAAAGTCCAGTTGCCTTTAGGAAAAGTGCCTTTTGGGACAACTGTAACCTGGATGATTGAGAACCTCCACAGACATAAAGTGAAATTGTAATTTACAAGAAAATGTCTCTGAGAATCTTTATGCCAATTTGCACTTAAATTAAATTCAAATTACCCTTGGAGCACTCCAGTTAAGCTTTGGAAAAACATTCCCTCCCAAGGAATGGATCGCCTCTTCAACTTTAAGGGAAAATTCAGGAAATTCTGGTGCCTGGAAAACCACAAAAGAGAAACCGTCTCTAGAAATAAAAACTAACACAAAACAGTATTCCAGGAGAAATAACTTTGTATTGCAATTGTTGTATATAAGCCAAATGTTTATAACAACATCTCCAGAACAAGCTCAGCAGAGAGACATTAAACAAATTAGGATCTCAAGAAATACCCCCCCCCCCCAATTACTTTATTTTGTAATATTTGGATTTGAAAATTCTGGATTTTCAAATGGTTAGCAAATTGTTAGCATGCAAATTAATCTGAGGGATCCTTGGTTCTCTCTGAGCTTGGTTGTTTTCTTGCAGACGTTTCATTATCCAAACACTGATGATGTTATTATCCAGCACTGATGATGTTACCTAGCTGGGTATTGAAACGTCTGCAAGAAAACAGCCAAGCTCAGACCCCTCATTTCAACCCTGAGCTACAAATTAACCTGATTGCTAAATAGTCATTTTGGACATTGGATGTTGCGAGATAAATGAAGAGACTTTTCACAATGTTCTAAATATAGTACTACTCACTTCGATCGATATATCTGATGTTTATTTCACATTTTCTTTTACGTACACTGGTCTGCTTTAGGAACAAGCTGGGAGCTCATCTTTAATTGCTAACTTAGGAAAAAGTTCACGGCCCGATAAAACTCGAGAAAAATATTTGGCATTTTTTGCTCTTATATAACTGAGAACTTCTTAGATTATTAGATCTCTCGCAATTAAAAAATAATTGAATACAGAGGGACTTACTGTGAGCGTTGCAGTATTTTCATCATCAGACCACTGAAAAAGGAGACCAGAAACAAGTTATTTTTTTGACGGGGATGTGGCAACTGACAGTTGCTTAATTGTGGTTAACTGATAAACGTAGTTGTGAATAGGTTCAAATGTTCATGCAGATTCTCAGTCACCCAGGTCCCAAAGGTGTGTGGGAAGTCAGCCCCGCAGAGAAGGAAATATTAAAAAGGGCAGAAAAATATATTTCCTCCAAGGATCTTAAAGAGGCAGAAAAGCATGACCACTTTTTCTTTATAGCCCCAAGTCTCCCTCCCCCAAGCAGAAACCAGCTCTGTAGAAATGCAGATGTAAATCCAGGGAGCTAGGAGATTAAGAAGACAAAGACCTAAAATCTATACACCCCACCCAAACTCTAAGAGTCATCAGCCCCAGGGAAGCAGGATATGACCTTTGGACATAATAAGATTGACCCATCACCATCCGAATACCAGAAAGGCACACTCAGACTCAGGTCAAAGTTCATGCCACAGGAACAACTCCAAACAAAAGGCTCCAGAGGGTATAAAAACCCACTTCCTACATGTGCTCAGTCTTTTTTTTTTTTCACTTCGTTTGCTGCCAGAGCTATCTTCCTGTCTGGCTCTCCTCTCCAATAAACTACAACCTTCTTCCCAAAGCAGTTGCCATGTTTATTCCCAGCTTGGATGAACCAGGATGAAGACTTTTCTTCCAACAGGTGCTTTTTCAAAAGGCAACTGGACTTTTCTTCGTTTTTTCCTTGAAGAGATTTCGCTTCTCATCACAGAAGCTTCTTCAGTTCTGAACGGTGTGGGGAGGGGAAATGGATGGATTTGCATTCCTTGAACTCATCTGGTCGTTAGCTCTCTCTCTCTCTGAGCTCTCCTGTGTTCAGAGGACTGCAAGGAAGAATAGAAATCCTCCCACTTCCTCCCTCCCCGTTCCGTCAGAGCTGAAGAAGCTTCTTGGGATGGGAAGCGAAACGTCTTCAAGGGAAAAACAAAGAAAAGTCCCGCTGCCTTTTGAAAAAAGCTCCTTTGGGAATGGGTTCAAAGCTCAAATCATCTCATCCACAAATTAGGGTTTACAAATGAGTTGAGTTCATGCTGATCCATCCCTTTAAAAAGGGGAGTCCGTCTCTACAATCTACAATTTTGCAAACTGGAAGCCCTTTCATTGCACTTCTTAATTTCAGGACAACTGGGATCGGATTCGGCCTGTAGGTAGACATTCCCAACATAAAGAAAAACAAAAAAACCCAACCTCCCTAGATATCCCTACTGAGAGTGCCTCTTCTCCTTCCTTGTGGATGCTCTGGGTCCCTTTCCGCTTGGTTGCCAAAGTTTGAAAGAGATGGCCAAAAGTCAGAAGTAGCCCAGGTCAAAAACATGAGCAATGGAAAAGAGGTAAGCTGAAGACTTCCTACTGAAAAATGGGTGTTCTGGACCGTGGTAAACCTGACTAGAGCATGTATCTGTATGTTAGAATACCTGGCATTTATTGGGTTAAGTGCTGTCTCCCTAAGAGATGGCTTATGGGTAATGTAGTTTAGCTAGTCAGCTATATCATGTTAGTAGGTCAGTGGGAGGAGTTTCTAAAGGGCATTGCAGGACTTCCTGGACACGAGCCAGATTGGAATGTTCTTTGTCTGAGAGAAGCATGAAGCCATTCGGACACCTCAGTTGGCTTCATTCCAAGCTACAAGCTGGTATGGAGATAGCATTATTTTCTCACCTATGGGAATGAACAGAGATGTATTGTCCAGAAGCAACCAACACAAATGCAAGTATTTCCTCTGAATAAATATATTTCTGTTTTAAAATCATTTCTATTGAGTTTATCGTCTGACCCAGTTTTACAACGCAATTTAATTCTGGTTGTCAGAACAGTGAGAAAATAATGCTACCTCCATACCAGCTTGTAGCTTGGAATGAAGCCAACTGAGGTGTCCGAATGGCTTCATGCTTCTCTCAGACAAAGAACATTCCAATCTGGCTCGTGTCCAGGAAGTCCTGCAATGCCCTTTAGAAACTCCTCCCACTGACCTACTAACATGATATAGCTGACTAGCTAAACTATATTACCCATAAGCCATCTCTTAGGGAGACAGCACTTAACCCAATAAATTCCAGATATTCTAACATACAGATACATGCTCTAGTCAGGTTTACCACGGTCCAGAACAATGGGGGTTGGTGTTTCCTATTAACCAAGATCCTCCACTTGTAGTAGACAGAAACCGGATTCTACAGATCTTGCAAAAAAGGTCAATCAAATTGTTTTGGACTTCCGGTGACCCACAGGGACTCATCTGTGAAGTCTCATGACACATTATAAGAATGATTTTTCCATTGTGATCTTCTGTGATTTGTTATTCTTCCTAGTTTAGACTACAGTCTTAAGAAGTGCTGGTGATCTCCTTGCTAAGTGCTACCTGGGCCAAACTTGCTTAGCTTTCTAGATCAGCCAAGGTTGTTCAGGTAGGAAAGGACCAAGAGAGTGTCCACTTGAAGAAAAAAAAGTCTACCCTTTTCATAATTCAGCCATAACTTTAATACTTATGGAAAAGGTAAGGAGTTCTAGAATGAGGGCTGATATATCAGAGACAAAGAACAGTTAGAGCAGGGGTCTTCAAACTTGGCCCTTTTGTGACTGGTGGACTTCAACTCCCAGAATTCCTCAGCCAGCATACCTGGCTGAGGAATTCTGGGAGTTGAAGTCCACCAATCATGAAAGGGCCAAGTTTGAAGACCTCTGAGTTAGAGTATCACAGTTTCTACAAACCACAGCTTCTTCTGCCTCCTCTTCATCGCCACCATCTTCTTGGGTTATTGTTTGGGGATCTTCTCTAAATAAGAAACCAGAAGGTGAAATCTTTGGCTAATCAAATCCTAAAGTTTTAATTTTTATTATGGTAGCCTTTATGAAATGTAATGTCCGAAAAACATCTTTAAAGCAAACAATTCAGAAGAAAGTGATCTGTTTTGGCCAATTAATAGTAATTTTTTTTCAATTAAAAGCTATGATGTTCGTATTAAGCAGAGAATTGTTATTGTAGGAAAACGCTCAGTAAGATGATCTAAGATTTGGAGTATGTTTGAAATTGTTGCTTCGTCAAAATATTTGTTTGGAAGCTGTTTCTTTCTGCCAAAGAAGTGCTGTAAACTACAGGTAGTCCTCGACCTACGACCACAATGGAGCCCAACGTTTATGTCGCTAAGTGAAACATTTGTTAAGTGAGTTTGTCCCATTTTTAGGACCTTTCTTGCCACAGTTGTTAAGTGAATCACTGCAGTTGATAAGTTAGTAAAGTGGTTGTTAAGTGAATCTGGCTTCCTCCATTGACTTTGCTTGCCAGGTCGCAAAAGAGGATCACATGACCTCCTGGGACACTGCAACCGTCGTAAGTATGAACCGGTTGCCAAGCGTCTGAATTTTGATCACGTGACCACAGGGAGGCTACAACGGTCGTAAGTGCGAAAAACGGTCCTCAGTCCCTTTTTTTCAGTGCCGTTATAACGTTGAATGGTCACTAAATTGAGGACAACTTGTACTGATGATAGGGTTAGAAACCTTTGCACACATTCAAATTTGCATTCCAGGTTTGAAAAATGTGTGATGCTTCTCTTTGCGCTTTAGAGCAGAGGTCACCAACCTTTTCATGCTGGGGGGCCAGAGCGAAAGGAAGCAGCTGGGAAATTTTTGTGCGCATGCGCACGAACGGGGCTGCGTGCACTCACACGGTGCGGGCGGCCCTGTTTGTGCAGGCACGCAGGAGCTACCCACAGCCACTAGCAGCCACGCGCAGGTGCAAACTGGCTCTACAACTCCCGTGTCAACGCTGCTAACATTGGATGTTTTGCTTTGACAACAGTTAGAGATGCAACCATTTTCTTCTTATGTTTGACTTTTAGAGTTAGATGATGCTGGGGCGGAAAGGAATGTGCATGAGAGTTTAGTTAGACATAATAACACTGGACCTAGTGTGAGAACCAAGGTTATTGAAATAAGAGATGATAAGAATTGGTGGGCTGGAGAACTGGAGGGAGAGCCTGCATTTCAAACTAATCGGAGAATGTGATTTATGTTAATTGGAGGAGGGAATTGTGCTTTGATACTGTGTGCTCAGGGGAGGGGAATCCAGTTTTTGGCTTCAATTATGTTAGTGCTGATGCTATGCTTCTCAAATAAAGATTCTTTAAGGTAAACAATGCCTCAAAGTTCTTTGAAGAGTCATCTGTCAGAACCATGACATCCTGCATGTGCTGGCAGCCCTATTTGCACAGGCGCTAGCCCGGCATGCATGCGCAAACGGGTCTGCAGGCGCTAGTGTGAGTGGGGGTGAGTGCGCGCACTGGCCAGCCTGTCCCACGGCCCGGTGGCCAGTAGGCCACGGCCCTGTATTGGGCCGCAGCCCATAGGTTGGGGACCTCTGCCTTAGAGGGTTTAAGTCAGCTTCCATTTCCTCAGAGATTTATCGCGATACAAATTTTGACCAGCGATGCTTCTAAAGCAGTGGTTCTCAACCTTTTTAATGCCGCAACCCCAACCGGTCGTAAGTCGAGGACTAAACCGGTCGTAAGTTGAGGACTAAACCGCTCGTAGGTCGAGGACTACCCAACCGGTCATAAGTCGAAGACTTTCCCTGCCCAGGAGCACCGCGCATGCGTGGTTCCGCCCCCTGCACCAGCCGAGGCGTAGCTGGCAAGCGGCAGAGACGGAGCAGGCCGACCACCAGCTGGCCCAGCCCAAGGGAGGTAAGGCAACCGCCGGAAAAAGGGAAAAAAATGGTGGACAAAAAAAATGGCAGACAAAAAAAATGGCGGACAGCCTTGCTTGGCGACCCCCGTGAAATGGTCGATCGACCCCAAATGGGGTCCCGACCCACAGGTTGAGAACCACTGTTCTAAAGAATTGTATACAGTATACATATTTTACTCTTGTGTCATTAAAGGCACAATGCTCATAGAAAACAAGACAGAAAAGCTGCCACTGTATTTAGACAGATCACCCATACATAATTGTTTTTAAAATACATCTAAATCTTTAAGCGAATTTTCTTACCTGCCAGAAACCACCAGGGTTCCATCGTCTAGCAAGTAATCCTTTACATTCTGTGGTATTGGAAGAATGACACTAAGATGGAAAAGGATTTAAAAATAAAAATGTTAGAAACCCCATACATCTGAAGACACGGCAAGGAGAGCTACTATTTTACACTTTGTGCAAATATCGGCTGCTAGGGTAGTTCAGTTATACAGGTAGTGCTCGATTTAACAACGGTTCATTTAGTGACCATTCAAAGTTACAACGGCACTGAAAAAAGGGACTTAGGACCGTTTTACCACAGTTACGACCTCTGCAGCCTCCCCGCGGTCACATGATCAAAATTCAGATGCTTGGCAACTGACTCATCTTTATGACGGTCGCAGTGTCCTGGGGTCACGTGATCCCCATTTGCGTCCTTCTGACAAGCAAAATCAATGGGGAGGCCAGATTCATGTAGCCACCAGGTTCTAACTTATAAATTGCAGTGATTCACTTAACAACTGTGGCAAGAAAGGTCATAAAATGGGGCAAAACACACTTAGTAGAACAGAAATTTTGGGCTCAATGGCGGTTGTAAATTGAAAACTACTTGTATTAACTACGTTGATACTGGTAACAAATTCTCATGCCAATCCCCCCTAAAAAAAAAATTGAAAATGTGAGAGGAAAAAATAATAAAGGTGTTCGAAATGTAAAACACTACAAAAAGGGGGTTGGACTAGAAGACTTCCAAGGTCCCTTCCAACTCTGTTATTTTGTTATTCTGTTATCGTTAAGACCAGTTTCTCACTCTGTTTTTAAAAAAAACATCAGCATTTCTTTTCTTAAAAAGACTCACACAACATACAGGTAGTCCTTGACTTATGACTGCTTGCTTAGCAACTGTTCAAATTATGACAGACTGACCAGGGAGCCAATTACGACCCAGATTCAAAGTTCCAATGAATTTTGGTTGCTTGGCAACCAGGCCACATTTACAGCCATTTGCAATGGCCTGTGGTCACATGACTGCATTTTATGAAAATTTTGCCCTAAATTGGCAGTTACTTTCAGTTTTCAGCAAAAGCACACCGGTAACAAGCCCTTAATTTCCTTAAAACTATGATATTCTCGTTAACGGCTGCAGCATTCGCTTAACGACTGCTGCGCGAAAAGACGGTCGTGACCGACGACTGTCTTGGATATGCTCCATTATGGCCGTAAATCGAGGACTACCTGCATTAGGGGGTTAATCCTGCTTCGTTATGAGAAGGCTTCACTTCTTTGTGTTGTTTTAAGCAAAATAACAAACAAGGCCTCTAGTCTGTCCCTAAAGACTGGCGGATTCTCTATTGTATACAGAAACCTCATATACAAACTATTAGAAATCTCTAAGGAATTCCCATAAGGTGTTTCAGCAGAGAATTCTATAGAAATAGGCCTCTGTCAAAATGTGTCTATGGGGATTCTCAGTCATCCAGGTCATGGTTGTCCCAAAGGTGCTTTTTCAAGAGGCAACTGGATTTCCTTTGTTTTTCCTTGAAGACGTTTCGCTTCTCATCCCAGAAGCTTCGTCAGCTCTGACTTCAGCTCAACTCCTTCCATTCCCCACCAGGCAGTCAGAGCTGAAGAAGCTTCTGGGATGAGAAGCGAAACGTCTTCAAAGAAAAACAAGAGAGTCCAGTTGCCTCCTGAAAAAGCACCTTTGGGACAAGCTTTCTATCTAATTCAAGGTGGAAATTCGTCTCGGGTACCTGCGGATCGTCTGCCTCTTGAAACGAGGATACCAGGAAGAGAACTGACAATTGAGTATCTGTTCTTTCTTCATCTTTACATTCAAAATACGACTGGCAGTTCTGCATGAAAGAAAACAACGCAACTTAACATTTGAAGACGAGTGCAGACAACCATTTTACCCCATTCATTAAAGGCAGAAGGACTGAATAGGGATTACTTTGTTTCTTTAACATTTTTACTAAATACTAAATATTTTACTCTGTACTGCAGGTTATCTATGGGAAGGATATATTTTAAGAAGACCAAAGAGACAGAGTAGCTGAGATTTGATTTCCCTAACCAGAGAAATATCCTCAGCTTTCAGTTTTGAACATGTGTATCTAAAAAGTGTATATTTCCCCTTTTGAGTGTCAGGAATTCTGGCAATGTAGGCTTAAGATTCCAGCTGGGGAATTCTGGGAGTTGAAGTCCACAGGTCATAGAGGGGCCATAGTTGCCCACCCTTGTTCTACAGTCACAAAATGACTTGTCTCAATCCCAGGGATTGGACCTGTCTTTCAATCCCTGCCACTATGTCAAAGCCATCCACCTAACAACTATCTAACAACAACTACTACTACTACTACTACTACTACTACTTCTTCTTCTTCTTCTTCTTCTTCTTCTTCTTCTTCTTCTTCTTCTTCTTCTTCTTCTTCTTCTTCTTCTTCTTCTTCTTCTTCTTCTTCTTCTTCTTCTTCTTCTTCTTCTTCTTCTTCTTCTTCTTCTTCTTCTTCTTCTTCTTCTTCTCCTTCTCCTTCTCCTTCTCCTTCTCCTTCTCCTCCTCCTCCTCCTCCCCCCCCCTCCTCCTCCTCCTCTCCATTCATCCCAGAATTATGGACTTCTCAAAAAATTAGGTCTTCACACAATAGGTCCAAAATATAATAATTTGAGCCAAGTTATTTCTGCCTTAAGTCAGAACTCTGATTTAATGTGTTCTATGAGCCATTTGTTTGGGGAGGGGGGGGGGGTTGGCTATCCATGGTTTTCTCAGGGACCTACTCCAATATCAGAGTTCAAAAGGATCAATGCTTCTTCATTCAGATCATCATGTTGTCCCACAGACTGAGTATAAGTTGGTATAAAACCCACAGATTGAACAGAAGACTTCCTAGTTCTGCAAACAAATTATTAATCAGTTATATCTAGTTTTTCTATGTCTAGTTTTTCCTGCCTTAGAAAGCTCATCAACCTTTGACTCCTGAGGTGATATCTTAACTGGAGATTCTTCAAAGCCTCAGCTCATCTTTGGAATTATACTATTAAACACCTGAGAGAAACATAACTAAGGACTTTCTTGGTGGCTAAATGGAGGTCAGAATAGCTCAATTTCAAAGTGGTCTTTTTTCCTGAAAGATGTTTCCTTAAACATCTGATATGATCTGCTGCTTAGGTCAACTTTGAACATACAGATGTCACTTAATTGTTGTTGTTTTTTCTCATCCATAACTGATGCACAGCCCCCAAATTCCACAGGAAGACAAAAAGGGAAAAACGAGGAAAGAGAACAACAGCTATTAATGAGCAATATTTTTTTTGCCATTTTAATAGGAATCCTTCACATCAGTCTCAAACAATTTTCAGACCTGCCAAAAGAAATTGGCTGGTGGATTTATATCGCACAATATTAAATGTAGCGGCTCTGAATCACATCGAAACAAGATGGGTGGCAAATAAATTTAATAATAAAATACATAAGCAAGCAAGCTAAGGCACCGAGAACTCTCTGAAATTATACACACATACAAACATATATATATATATACACACACAATTTGATAATTGTGTGTGTGTGTGTGTGTGTAAATTGCTTGTGTGTGTCCAATCATGCCTGGACAATAAAGAATTCTCTCTATTTATATACATATATAGTCAACATCAGCTGCTTATTCACATATAATTGGCAAACCTAACACACCCCCAGCACCCAACAGCAACAAAGCTCTATAACCCAGACACGTGTACGTAGGAATACACGTGTATCCCTATGCATTCACACACTTCCAGCAGCTTCCCCAGCCCCGCACCCGGGTCTGCTCTTCCTGCTCGCTTATTTTACCTGCTACACCATCGTCCAGGCTGCTCCTGGACGAGCTGACCAATCAACGAGCGCAGCAGGCGGGACTTGACGCCTTCTTCTTCTTATTGGCTAACGGATTGTTCTTCGACTAATGAAAAGCCTTGCGTGGTTAGCACTGCCCTCCAAGGAAAGCCGAAAGGCTAGCTTTGTTTGGAGCTGGTAAGTGACAGGCATTTTTATTAACCAATCTGTGATAAAAAAAAGTACTCTGTAGGAGGATCTCGGTTAGTCATGTAGAGATAAGTCAACAGAACCTTACAAGCGAAACGTCAGGTTTATTTAACCCTGAGTGCTTTGTTTCTGTTTTGAAACAGAACAAGAATATTATTTTAAGCTTTAATTCAACTAGATCTGGACACATATCTTATTTAAGTTAAAAACCGAAATGATAATTACAACAAATAACCTCAAGGAGACATGAGGACGACTCTAATTTTCCTATCTCTAGGAGCCTCGCGCTTCCAAGCGAATGAAAGTGCGGCAGCCGTCCAAAGTCGCTCGCTATGCGCATGCGTGACAGAATCGGTCACCTATAGGGCTCTCCCATCGGACGGTCTCTCCCATCGCTGGCGAGTCGGGCGCGCGAGGGTTCGGCGAGCTTCCTGCTACTTTCAGCCAATCAGCGGAGGGGAACGGACCGGAACGGACCGGAGAGACTCTTAGACTCCTGCCCGGGAAAACGGCGAGCAGAGACGGTTAGAGGCGTCCTCCTGCCGCCAACTCGCGAGTATCGCAAGAGGAGGTGGCAGCTGTTGGGCTGATGCGGGAGCAGAGAGAAATCGAGCATGTGCAGAGTGCTTGTGCTGAGCTCCTGACTTGCACTGCGTGCATATTGTTAGAGTGGGTTGCAAAGTGCAGAGTCTACTCTAACCCATATTATTCAAGCTCAGCAACTTTAAAATAAGTGGATTATTTTCAACTCCCAGAATTCCCCAGCCAATTGGCCGGGGAATTCTGGGACTTGAAGTCCACTTAAAGTTACTGAGCTTGAGAAACATGGATTTCTAATGGCACTGGGTAGTTACAGTCTGACTCATTTTCCTTTTATCTTCTATTTTGCAAAATCTACCAATTATCCTCACTCTTTAATAATTAACAAAATAACATTCCTACCAATTAACAAAATAACATTCCTACCAATTAACAAAATAACATTCCCACCATCAATGTTCATTGATCTAATTTAATTCCAGTTGGATAAAAAACACTTTTACTTCCCCAATAATGCTTCACTTTCTCTGTTTTAAACTTTTTAACATCCAATTTCTTTGCCAAAAGTTTTTAAACCTTTTAAAGTTTTTTTTTCTTTATAGTATTAAAGGAACAGGAACAAAAGAAAGGAAAATATGGGGAGAGCTTGCCTTTTCTTTTGCCCTTGCTTGAGACATTAATCATGCAAATGTAATTAATCCATGCATTAATCCATGAATTAATAATATAGACTTAAAAAATTAGAAATTTTAAACAATACTGTGTAAAAGGAAAGAGTGCTTCTTTTTCACTGACAAGCTTAAGCAAAGAACTATTTTTAAAAATTCCATTAAAAAAGTCAGATGAACACCCACTGACAGTTTACAGCTTGGTGGCTTTAAAAAAGATTTTAAAAACAAGAAATAGAGATAATTGGCATCTTTCCCTTAAAAACTAATTGCTCTGAACAAGTTATCTAAAATAATTTGCAGTTTATGCTTCATACGAAGCATTAGGAAATTGCTCTTTTATTATTTAATTAAATTAGATACTAATTATAACCTATGAAATGTTGTTATCAGGTATTCTTACCTAACATATCCCATTGATTTCAGTTGAAGTGATGGGTGGCTAATTTGGTTCAAATCAAAGCTTCTACAATCAGCAGGACTTCCAAATTTTCCACTTGTAGAAAGTACCATTGTATTGTCTACCAGAAGTGATAAACTATCCTGATGCTTAATTTAAACCTGTAATTTATTTCTAACATTTGTCCTTGCCAAAGATTGCCATTAAAGGTTAAACTGACCATATATCATTGATTGATTGATTAAAAAGGACAGTCCTTTATTTCAGAAAGCTGCCCTTTCAAGGACCAATAGATTTATTTTTCAAAAAGTGAGTTTTATCCTTTGTTTTGTCCATTTAACTTTTACGAGTGTTATCATTTAATGTATAGTCCTTTTTAATACTTGCTTCTTAGAACTTTATAGCTTCTTATGCTTTCTAGACATTTTTATTAGACTACGTCCTTTTGCAAAGTTTTTCTCAGATTTGCTCTCGAATTTTCTTCTGCAAAGTTGTGGACCTAATCACCTACATTTTTTTCCCTTCCTATCCTTACAAACCTCTTTCAGGTTTGCCCTGTTATTCAGCTGCGTTCTTTGTGTTTTGCAAGAAAATATGGTCACCCTAGCTGTGTCATCGTTCGTCAGAAAAGATTGCTTTGCAGCATTTAATGTGTGCTAAGGGGGGTCATCGCTTCCAATAAACAATGGCTACGCAAAAAAATTAAAACCAAGGATATGGACGGCCCTGCTGAACTCAAAACGTTCTAACAAACTTGTAAAATTGATATGAATGGTGGGATAGTTTTCACTAACTAAATCTGGAGCATTCCGAGATTACTTTTGGTTGGAAAAACTTTGCAGGACTTTGTCCTAATGGAAGGTTATTGCACTCTCAACTGTTGTTCAAGAGAGCAGACTGTCCTCTGAAGACCTTAGGTAGTTAGTTACCTTTAGCCTGTCTAGAGTTCCAATCGATGTTATGCAGAGCTGATATTTCTGATTAACCTCGATTAACCTTGATCCAAACCCTCTTATTTAATACAGGTAGTCCTCGATTTACAACCTTAATTGAGCCCCAAATTTCTATGTCTAAATGAGGCATTTGTAAAGTGAGTTTTGCCCCGTTTTACAACCTTTCTTGCCGCAGTTGTTAAGTGAATCACTGCCGTTGATAAGTTAGTAACCCGGTTGTTAAGTGAATCTGGCTTCCCCATTGACTTTGCTTGTCAGAAGGTCGCAAAAGGGGATCACGTGACCCCGGGACACGGCAAACTGTCATAAATATGAGTCAGTTGCCAAGCGTGTGAATTTCAATCAAGTGACCATGGGGATGGCTGCAACGGTCGTAAGTGTGAAAAATGGTCAGAAGTCACCTTTTTCAGGGCCGTTGTAACTTTGAACAGTCAGTCACTCAATGAACAGTTATAAGTCGGCTATCTGTACTAGCTTTCCCTGATTGCTCATAAAAAAATATGGCCTAATTTCCTGACATTCTGAAGGAAAACATGTAAGAACAATTGGGGAAGTCCTAAAATAGACATAATATATGATACATAATAATAATAAGACGAATAGAATAGAATAGAATAGAATAGAATAGAATAGAATAGAATAGAATAGAATAGAGCTGGAAGGGACCTTGGAGGTCTAGTCCAGCCCACCCCCACCCCGCTCAAGCAGGAGAACCTATACCAGGGGTAGGCAACCTTGGCTCTTTTATGACTCGTGGACTTCAACTCCCAGAATTCCTAAGCCAGCCATGCTGAGGGGAAAGGGAGAGATTTCCAAGCTGAGCCATGCTGGCTCAGGAATTCTGGGAGTTGAAGTCCCCGAGTCATAAAAGAGCCAAGGTTGCCTACCCCTGACCTATACCATCTCAGACAAGTGACTATCCAGTCTCTTCTTTAAAAACCTCCAGTGATGGAGCATCCACAATTTCTGGAAGCAAGCTGTTCCACTGGTTAATTGTCCTCACTGCTAGGAACCTTCTCCTTAATTCCAGGTTGCTTCTCTCTTTGATCAGTTTCCAACCATTGTTTCTTGTCCTGCCCTCTGGTGCTTTGGAGAATAGTTTGACCCCTTCTTCTTTGTGGCAGCCCCTCAGTTAGTGGAACACTGCTATCATGTCACCTTATTTCTTCTTTTCTTTAGACTAGCCAAACCCAAGTCCTGCAGCCATTCTTTTTTTTTTTATTATTAAAAGTTTTATAAAGATTACAATATAATCCCCCTCCCTCCCCAAAACCCCCCTCCCCCCACTTCCCAGAGCTATATACAGGGTTAACAAATAATAATCATAATCTAAATAACATTAACCAACTATTAAGTTACCAAATCTATAAAACACTTTAACTCCATTTTTTACATAAATTTAAGTAATTAAAGTTAAACACAATAATAAACAAATAATAATACCGTATAGCAATTAAAAATAACCAAAAAATAGACTATTATAAAATATTAACAATAATGATACTCTAAAATTTACTCAAAAACCAAATGGAACTTTTTAGTCCCATATATATTCTGAATATAATCTATCCATCTTCTCCAAACCGAAATATATCTTTCTTGTGAATAGTCCTTCACATAAGCGGAAATCTTGGCCATTTCTGCTAAATTTGACACTTTAAGCGACCATTCTTCTATAGTAGGCAAACGATCCGTTTTCCAATATTGAGCTACCAATAATCTTGCAGCTGTTGTAAGATTCAACATCAAATTTGTTTTTTTAACATCCAAATCTTCCATAATACCTAACAAAAATATCTGCGGTGTAAACTTTATCTTTTTCTTAAAAATATTTTGAATATTCCACCAAATTTTAATCCAAAATGCTTTTATTTCCCTTACATGTCCACCAAACATGAAAATATGTTGCATCTAAATTTCCACACCTCCAACACTTGGGTTGTAGATTAGGATACATGCAGGACAATTTTTGAGGATCCAAATGCCACCTATAAAACATTTTATAAAAATTTTCTCTTAAGTTTTGGGCTTGGGTAAATTTTACATTTCTCACCCAAATTATCTCCCATGTATCCAATGAAATCGATTCTTGGGTATTTTGAGCCCATTTTATCATACAATCTTTAACCAATTCTGTTTCCGAATCCAATTCTATCAAAACATTATAAATTCTCTTTATGTGGGCTCGAGATTGATCTTTAATCTGTTTAATCAAATTTACATCCTGCAAAGTAATACCAACTTTTTGATCCAAGCTCCACCTCATTAA